ATTATATATATATATGTATGTATGTATATGTATATTTATATGTATATATATATGTATATATATGTATATGTATATATATATATATATTATATATATATATATAATATATACATATACATGCATATATATATATATATATATAATATAATATATTATATATATTATATATACATATATATGCATATATATATGCATATATGTACACACACACACACACACACACACACACACACACACACACACACACACACACACACACATAATATATATATTATATATATATTATATTATATATATATATATATTAATTATATATATATATATATATATGTATATATATATATATTATATAATTATATATATATATATATAATATATATATATATACATACTATACATACAGACAAACACGCACATACACACACACACACACACATACACACACACACACACACATACAAAATAAGAAATCCTGCAAGTTTCCCTCTTCAGTGGAACCAAAGATGCAATCAAGAGTGATTGTGATTTTTGCTTGTGTACAAGCACATGCACATACACATGCACGCACGCATACATGCCACACATCACAAAGTTGTATGCCTGCATCTGTATGGACGTCCTTTCCTTCTTTATGCGTTTAAATTTGTGTCTGAGGGAAAGGAAAGGGAGAGAGACGGATAAAGGGAGAGAAGGAGAAAGTTTTGTATTTGTGTGTGTGGGGGAGAGGGCGAGAGAGAGAAGAGAGAGAGAGAGAGAGAGAGAGAGAGAGAGGAGAGAGAGAGAGAGAGAGAGAGAGAGAGAGAGAGGAGAGAGAGAGAAGAAGAGAGAGAGAGAGAAAGAAAGAAGAGAGAGGAGAGAGGAGAGAGAGAGAGAGAGAGAGAGAGAGCGAAAATGAGAGAGCGAGAGAAAATGAGAGAGAGAGAGAGAATGCGAGAGCGAGAGAAAGAGAGAGGGAGAGAGAAAGAGAGAGAGAGAATGAGAGAGCGAGAGAGAGAGAGAGAGAGAGAGAAATGAGAGAGAGAGCGAGAAGAGAGAGAATGAAGAGAGGAAAGAGAGAGCGAAGAAGAGAGTGAGAGGGAGAGAGAGAGAGAGAGAATGAGAGAGCGAGAGAGAGAGAGAGTGAGGCAGGCAGACAGACAGAGACGGAGAGAGACGTAGGCTTTTCTTATCTGATATCTTAATCATGCAACATCCTGCTGTTTACAGTTTACAAGGACACTCCTTTGAACACAACTGCAACAACGCTAATAACAACTATAACAGCAACCTCCGAACCTTCACTGCACCAACAAGTGACGCCCATATGTTTTATCCATAACTAACCACAACATTCAAGTGACGCAATAGCACAGAATGACATCCATCCACCACACTTTTACCGCTTTGTCTTATATTACCAAAACATGAAAATGCTTATCATAACCACTCTAACAAATCATCAGATTTTGTCCAGCAGTAAAATCATTGTGTATCTTCTCTCAATTTTGAATGCGCTGAAATAACGAATGCAATGTCACTGTAGTTCGTGTCACTTTTATTACTGTAGTGCGTGGCGCTGTATGGTGACCACACAGCAGTTTCTGAAATAGGATTTACTACCAATAAATTCATTGTAATCCATAATCATATGGCTCATATTAACTACAATCCAAAGTTTATTTTTTGTGTGTAAGCATTTGAATTGTTCATCCTAAAGCTTAGCACTCACCAAGCATGACATGCGTAAATCCATGTAATCTGTAACTCTGACCTGCCCTCATCTGACCTCACCTAATCTCGTCATAGCTGATAGATGAGTAAAATCGTTCAAATAAAGTAGATATAATTGAAGTTATCAGATAAACATAGGTTTTGTAGCTCGTGAACTGTTCTGAACTGTCAACTCGGACAGCATCCCAGTATTGGAGCTTCCTGTGTATTGTTGAATTCTATACACCAAGGTATCATTTCGTGTATTGCATTTCAATACGTCGATAATGATTTACAATGCAGTTTACAGGTATATATAGTATGTTTTATTTCATTATATCAACAGCATTTCTTTCTGTCATTTTAGAACATAATTTATTATCATAGAAAAATATCAATATAGCTAACTGGATATCAAACGATAGCCATTTCGATGCAATACCGAAAATATTTTTTATTCGTCTTTCAATTTTACAGCATATATCCTTCCAACACATTTGTTTTCCTTTATGGCAGTTCTCTTAATTAATCAGTTTTTTAAACATCCTAAAATAGAGAGACAACGAACAAACCAATATGGATACCAAAATACCTCCTAGCTATTTTACGTTCGAATTCAACCTCATTTGAAGGCCTTCTGATAACACCGCATTCCACCCTCCCAATATATATCCTGACCTCCGTTTAGTACAGTATCAATGACACATTCCAAAAATCACCTTTAGATTAGGTTATCACTCTTTTATCGCGTCTCCCATGACTTCTTGTTGATCTTAATAAAAAAGAAGAAAAATAATGAGTAGGCTAAGGACCTGGACTAAGCTGTCGGTATTTTTTTTTCTTTTCTTTTTCGTGATTTTGTTCCCTGGCGACGCATCTCTTTATTTATTAGGTAGAAGAAAAAGATTGGTATCAGAAACAGAAATGAAAAATAGAAGATAAAGAAGTTCGTAGATGAATGATAAAGAAATAGAAAAAAATGTCCATATCTTCTGCTGACATATTCCAATGTAAATTAAATCACATTCCACAAGAAAATTGTTTTTGTCCTGCTTATTTCTCAAGAGATAAGATACCAAGACAGCCTGATAAGGAACAAGATAACGTCTTCCTAAAATAAAGGGTATTCTCATCTCGATGCTAGTGCGGAATGAGCAGGCAAGGTGTTCCGAAGTGTTCTTAAGTGTTCCTAGGTGTTCCAGGGCGTTCCAAGGTTCTCCAGCTTGTCCAGACGGAAGAGGTAAGAAAGAGAACGTGTCCAAAAAGCGGCTTTGGTTTTGGGTTTCTTCCCCACGGGAGAGAGTGCGGGCTTTGGCACTGGTGGCTTTGAGCATTTTTTTTTTTTTCTTTTTTTTGCTGTTGTTATCTGTCGCTCACCCAGCCTCTCTGAACTGCTGAACGTCGTGATTTTTTTTTTTTAATTTCCCTGCGAATGAAACCAGCAACTATGACCCTGATTGCGCAAACATCCTTGATTAACGCAGTGATCTGTGGAGGCGGAAAAATCTGCCAGAGTCTCAAAGATGCAAAGTCCGCCGCGATAAAAGCTTACACGATCCGCCATTATAGCATTCAGCCTAGATAAAAACGAAAAAAAATACGATTAGATAGAAAACCCGAAGCACAGAACCCTTTACACACACGCTCTCTCTCCCCCGATTCGCAGGTCCACATCCGGCTGACGGCGGGCGTGAGCGAGAGCGCGTGCGACCTGAAGAAGGCGTATCCTGAAGGAGCGACTGAGGATCTGCTGCAGGAGGAAGAGGAGGATTCGAGCCAGTCGCAGGAAGGCGGGGCGATCCGGGCTTCCAGACGCACGGATTGGAAGGATGAGCTCAGAGATATTCAGGTATGTGGTCCTTTGATTGGGGAGGCGAGTAGGGGGGAGGAGTAGAGGAAAGGCGGAGTGGGTGTGGCTGAGGGAGCGATTTGGGGCTGCGTTTGGTCGTGGGAAAAGTGGATTGGGCGTTTCTTCCTTAATGGGCGCTCAAATGAACATGGAAGGGGCTTTGCGAGTTGTTGTTTTCGTTTCATCTCTGGTTTTTGGTTTGATGATTGTATTGGCTGTCTTGTATATTACAGTATATTTATGTGTGTGTGTGTGTGTGTGTGTGTGTGTGTGTGTGTGTGTGTGTGTGTGTGTGTGTGTGTGTGCATACATACACATATACATATAGATATACATATACATATACATATACATATATACATATACATATAACATATATATATAATATATATATATATATATATTATATATATATGTATATATATATATATATATATATATATATATATATATATATATATATATATATATATATATATTATATATATGTATGTGTGTACATATATATGTATTTATGTATGTATGTGTGTGTACATGTGTATTATTTCTTTCTTTGTGTGTAATACGGTAGGTGTTTCTTTTTATTTCTTCACCAATCTCACCTAGTTCTTCCTCTCCCTCTTCATTATCACCATCCTCCTTCTTATCCTTTTTCCTCTACTTTTTCCTCCTTATCCTCCACCCACTACTACAAATTATTGCTCCATCACTATCGTCAACCATCATCATCAAATGCTAAAAGAACCACACACACGCACAGGCACACACACACACACACACACACACACACACACACACACACAACACACACACACACACACACACACACACACACACACACACACACACACATACACACACCACACAACATACAAATATATATACTGTTATATATAAACCATCTTTATTATCAGCTTTCTTTCCCCTCTCGTTTATATATTATATATTCCCCTGCTTTAAATTGCCACCAACCGTAGTCTTACCACAACCGCTCCTACAAAATTCTGGTGTCGCTGCTACACAAACCATTACAGCTTCTTAATACAACATTTGCTAACTAAAACTTCTGCTTACCACATCTGTTTACTATAACTTCTGCTTACCACAACACCCGCTTACCACAACCTCTGCTTGCCATAACTTCTACCTACCACAACATCTGTCTACCATAACTTTTGCTTACATCTGCTCACTATATCTTTGCCTACGAATCTCTCTTAATCCCTCAGCCGTTATCATCCTCACACAATCCTTTGATAACATTGTCTTACCTATCTGGGATCCTTGAACTTGTGTGTGTGTGTGTGTGTGTGTGTGTGTGTGTGTTGTGTGTGTGTTAAGTTTAAATCTATATGGAAGCAATTCGATAAATATATGTATAGTAACTTATGAGATATCATAACAAACAACTCAATATATATGTTCTCTTGCTTGGGAGAAAAATTGACACATAAAAGTTCATAATCATCATGACTAAGCTACAGGCCTCTTCTTTCCTTCGTCATCGTCGATGTATCGCTGAGAGAGACAGAGACAGAAAACGTCAATGTTAATCTCGGCCTCTCCATGCCTTGTCCATTATCAGAAACATCCTTAGGATAAAAATAGTAATTAAATTTCCTTTTAACCCAACCTCCCTCTTTTCCTCCCCTGCCAAGGCCGCCCGTGTTGAGCGCGAAGTAGCGAGGTTCCAGCGCACGATCGACGAAACGCAGAGGCGCTGGGAGGAGAACTACGCCCGCGCCGCCCCTCGCTCCGCGCCCGCCACAGGGCATTCCGACAGCTCGACGGAAGGGCTTCACAACCGCGACCCGGTGAGTGTGGGCGACCTCGTGTTCGTTTTCTTTCATTGTTTAGGATTTTTTGTCGTAGAACAAGAGTGAGTTTTTGTTTATTTTATATACATCGTCATGGGACACTTTCACTAACGAAAACCTCTTTGTTTTTTATTTTTTCATGTGTGATTTGGACCTGAATTCTCTTTTCTTTGAATGGGATATTCGGTAGTCTTTTAATTCCAGATGTCTATAGACTTATCCCTACCCCCCTTTCTTCCAAATACTAATTGACCGTTTCATTATAAACTCCAGTTACAGCGATAGGCCATGCTAGGGAGGTTAGTTGAACTTGACGCGTCGGTTGAGGGAATACAGTGCCTTGTGAAGGCGTGACTCACCCTCTCAGTCCCCTGTAGGAGATTTTCAGGCCATCTCTCCATAGAGACTGATAGGTGGACACCCTGGCACTTGTACTGTCGCATGACTAGATCATTAAACAAAAGAGTTCACAGAGCCCCATCGTGTCCAGATTTTTGGACGATCAAGAGCTAAAATTGTTGACAAGCCTTGGATGCCATTAACATACAGATTGCTTAACACCCTTTGCTGTAGTTGGCCGCTCCTCCGGGGTGGCTCCCGCACTCGCCCGCACTTGCACGGCTAGATGATCCTCAGAGAACCACGGCCTCACTTGCACTTGTTCTTGCGCCATTTTGTCTCGATTATTGAACATTTATTTATCCAGACATATGTTATTGAGCACAAGATGTGTCATTTTTAAGGATTTAACGAAATTTTCGAAAGTAACAGTTTTATTTGAATATATAACATTTGCATATGTTCTTCAGACATTTTGATAAAATATTAACATCTATCTGGAGATACGCAGGTAGTTCGCCAAAAACACAATGGACAATCCAATGACCCTACTGCTTCCATTGCAGCTGCCTACCTGGTGCCTCCTCGGCATGATCTGTGGCGGACAGTGAGCGTGGACACCCTCGGCGAGCCGGCGAGAGACAGGACGACGCTGCAGCCTCTCCTGCGCCACACCAGCGTCGACAACCTCAGGCCCTCGACGAAGGTGTCCAACCTGAGCCCGCTCGGCCCTAACCCCCGCCAGAACAGTATGAACACAGTGAGTAGCCTGAGTAACATCAACTTGAGCAATAACTGCGGAGGGAGCAAGGCGGCGCCGAGCTACCAGCCCCAGCCAGCGCACGGCCAGTCAGTCGAGAGCATGAGCGGCTACAGCGACGGGGAGAGCCACGGCGACGGCAACGACAGCGACGTGTCCACGAGCACGCCCGACAAGGTCCCCGTGCTGCCGTCAGTCAGGAAATTGGCTTCGAAGTTCGACGTCGCGAGCAGAGAGAGGGTCAATGATTTAGATAAGCACGGGAAAGATGTGAGTACACCGTGGTTTCCCTTTCGTCAGTGTTAACGTTTCTATTTTGTTTCAGGAGATTAATGTGTATAGATATTTATATATATGAAGTAGTATTTTTAGAATTTGTATTTCATCTATATACTTGCGTACTGAAAAAAGATCCTCTTTGCTAAACAGGGTTCTCTTGCATTTAATGGAAAGAAGAACATCTTCATCGAGAAATCCTCCCCAACTGACCCGCCGTACATCAGGAACCTCACCAACAACCTCAACAAGAGAACCGAGAAGACCTATAACGTTAAGGAGGTAAGGTCTTTGCCCAACAGATCTAACACACACACACGACCCCCAACCCGCTTCTGACACTGACACTTACTTTACTGATCATGACGACTCTGAGTTTGACGATCAGGCCACAGTGACCAGTGTCAGCTTGCCTCCGACGCCCCATTCGCTCAATGGGGGACTCAGCTACAGCACTTCCAGCCTCTTAGACTCCGACTCTTGCTATTCACTGGACTCTAGGGACCAGAACCAAGCCTCCCCCGGCGAGGAAGCGGCCAAGACCATTTTCGGGTCACGCTGCGGAAGGTCAGTTCTTCATCTGGGAGCAGGTCGTCCGTGTCCAGTAATTCCCTTCGAACAAATGACGAATCTACCTGGCATAACAGCCACTATGACCGACAGAACTCTTATTCCAGCTCAGTTGATTTGCATCACGAAAGGCCTCCGATTTCAGAAACAGACAGCGATTCCGATGCCCCCAACGCCCTTCGGCAAGTAACGATTATCAAAATTGATGACAAAACAAAACATGAGTATCAGAGCATGACAGATTTGTCTCTAAAATATCCCAAGGAACATGACAATCAAAGGAGGTACAGCAGCACCTTGAACCTTGCTTTAGAAAGTGAATTTGCTGGAGCAAATCAACCCGTCCGGAAGACGTCTCTGCAGGCGCTTCCTCCCCTCCAGCCCCTGAGTGCAAATTCCAGGCAGAAGAGCATGCCAAACCTCGCTGCGATGCCCAGCATAGCTTTTGCGCCAAAGGGACGCAAAAGGTCAATGCGCGATTTCCTTAAGAGTTATCAGAGACAGACATCCCTGAGTGAGATTAACAGGATCGAGGAAAAAGTTGAGGAGGAGTGGAATAACCAGAGGAATGGACACGTCCCTCTGCAGCGCATGACTTCAGCACCTGCATGGAATCATAACAGTTTCCATGAAGAGCAGAATTTATCTCAGAGTAGAGACATACAACCAGTTCAGGAGGCAGTAGCAAAACATGAAACCTCCTCTCCTGTTCTAGAAACTGAACAAACACAAAGAACAAATGATATTGAGTCACCACCACCTGTTGCATGTCAGAATTCTCTGCCACCCACGAACCATAGTTCTAAGATAGAATATCCCTCTTATGAAGAAGAGATTGGCCAGGAAGTCAAGAATGTCCAGCATGAATCTGATGATGAATCAAGTATGTCTGACAGTACAGTTACCTCAGACACTCCAGAACAAGACGATACAAAGAAAGCACCCATGAAGAGGGCTAAAAGTGTATCTGATCTGTTGAAGCTTTACACAGACATGGAAACCAAAGCTGGAAGACCGCCAAGTAGAATTTCAAAGAAAGAATTATTCGGTTCACAAGACCTACTCCGTAAAAAAACAATTCAGCAAAGTCATGAAGAGGAACTGATCCAGAGGGAATTTGTGCAGTCACGCGAACAAGTGCGAGGGAAAATGACCCAAGGAACCAGCCTTGAGGAAAAGTTTTCACCAAATGCTTTCCTTGGACCAAAGAGTAGAGAACTCAGTGGAATATGTTGGAACCGCGCCCGATCTGTCAAAGACATACATGCAAGAACAAGTCCAAAGTGAACCGAATCAAGATACAAGTACAATGAAGTGCCGTCACCAAGGGTTGTTCTTGACGATGGGAAAGTGAAGGATTTCTTAGAATATATTGAAGGTGGGTTTATACATCGACCCCAGACAGTGCAAAGGAACCAAACACCACTGAAGGAACGACTGAAATGGACACACACAAAAAGCCATTGGTAAAGGCTAAAAGCATTTCAGACCTTTTGAAATTATATTCTGATAAACAGAGCAATGGAGAAGAGACACCTTTGAGACAACCCACAGAAGATTCGAAGGTGAAAGCAAACAAAACTATCATAACTCTCTCTGACAACGAACAATATCCAAAAATACAATCAACTTCTGCAAAAGTAATCTCTGTTGAAGAGCCTGTGTCCGTGCACAGATCCAGAGGCCTTGAGAACATTCCACTTAAACCGTCTGTAATTTCCAGCAAAGCCAGCTCGTATGATCAGCCAGACTCGAAGACACCAAAGCTTCAGCATGATCTCCGCAGAAGTCCAAAGACAAATGCCAAAAATACAGGGACAATTACCTCAGGCAGTGTACCCTCTGAAAAGCCTGTTCTCTCACAAAATACAAAACCATTCGGTAAGACTTCCAGATCAAACGAGAAAATGAACGACAATGTTACTAACAAAGATAGAAATGGAAATTCAATTTATGAAGGAGAGGATAACAGAACAGTCATTAGTGTTTCAGACAATTCGCCTCATTCTCTTTTCCATGCCAGTATCATTAATATAGACAGTGAAGATAGTGGTTACTCGCCTGTAAAGTATCCTTCTTATAATGACGCACATCATTATCCCCCATTGGAAGATGAGAACACAGGCAAAGGATATTATTCTACCAGCAACCCAGAGGTGAAATATTCCCAAGTCATTCCTATTGAAATGGACAACCACTCGTCACAGAATAGACCAAAGATGATTTCCGAAGACACAAATGACTACCCAGTGCAAGTGATTGAGGCGGAGTCAAAGGGACCTCATGTTACAGTCATTTCCCTCACAGAAGCGCCCTCTTCTGTGCCCCCTCCTGTGCTTCCTCCTGCACCGCCCTCTTCCGATGAGAGCAGTGAGGAAGAAGCGATGTGCGATCCTCGGTCCCTCACGAAAATGATCGTCCACGGATCCCGATGCGGAAGCAGCACCAACAGAAGACCCGGCCAGAGAAAGAAAAGCATAACGGCGGCCTCCGTGCCCCTTAACTCTCCATTCTCACCAGTCAGGAGAAAGGCTTCGCTCTCTCCGACGGTACAGTCATCTCCCCGACAGCCGTCACCACTTCCCCGACATTCACAGACGCCCCTTTGCTTAAAACGAAGCTAGGACCGCAGTACTCCTTTGACGAAGGGGTCGACCTGACGCTGAGTGACGCTGACCTTGCCCAGTCAGCCGTCTCAACCGAGTCGAAGTCAACCAGCAGTGTGGACACCATCGGCAAGGACAGCCCCGAGCCCAGGGTACTGTGCGACTAGAGGCACGCGTGCATGACACAGAAAGGGTCAAGAGAATGAGGTACTACTGGACTCCGGATCAGTCAGTCGTGGGCCTGTCGGTTGTTGTTGGGTCTTCTCACTTGCAAAGTCTTTCAGATTTCAGTCAACTCCATGATATAGTGCATGTAATTTGAGTTACTTAGTTAAACACTATGAACATTATTATGGGGGATTTACTTTGCATATTTTCTTATTAAATGGCAGGACAGTTCTAAGTTATTATTGCCATGGGTGATTCCATAGATTACAGGGAATTTAGTTGATATACGAATTACTATATAATCCTTACCATATATTTTGATGTTATACTACACCCCCCCCAAAAAAAAAAAAATGAAATCTGAAAGAATTGCTGAGATTTGAACTGCGAACGTCCATTTTCGTGGGGATTTCCTGCTTTATGAAAACGAACTACAATATCTTGAAATTTGGTCTTAATGGAACTGCTTGCAAAATACATACACATCTACCTGTTGATTGCATATTGTGTATGAAGGTGGTCGAATTCAAGATTTCCCTTATTGGTGCTGGTATTGTTTGAATTCGTCTTGTGTTGGTTAATTTTATACTGAATGGGAGAAATTTTCTATCATTTGTATTTCTCTGTGCTATCTGTGGGTCTCAATATTCTTGTAATAATAAGCACCATTATGTGAATATTATGTGGACTCCAGGTGGTTTTGTACATTTGAATACATACTTTATGATCTTTGTATGTGGATGTTTTTTTCTTGTATTTTTTTTCATTAATGCACTTACTTGCTACCAATATGTTGGGTTCCAAACGTACAATGTTGCACCTCTTTTGAATGATTTCCCATCTTCTACTGTATTACTATACTCGTTACTTCTGCACATTCCTCATTACTGTCGTGATTGCCTCTGTGACGCTATGACTTCTTTACGTTGAACTGTGACTGTGGGATTGTGACATTGTTCTGACTGGACTTTTGCTTGCTTGCCTTCACTGTATGTTATTTCTTGACAACTGTTTGAGATTTTATGTTCCTGTCTTATTTTACAATTTTGATGATCTTATTTTTTAATAGATATTTTGATTATTCATGTTTCAGCTCTAAGTTTATATTTGTTTAGTGAATGATTTTTTAAAATATAAAACTAAAAGATATTGATGTGAGCATACAAATTTTCTTTTTGTACTTGTATCTTCTACAAGCACACACATAAGCACAGACACACACAGGGACGCTTACAGTAATTTTTTCACTACCAAGGAGTAATAGGTCTTCCATCACTATAGTTCTTGATGCAATGATAATTATTTAAAAGTAACATTAAATGAATCAGTACATTTAGTCTCCCCGCCCGCACCTTTTGAGATGAAACGAGTTATAATTAGAAACAACTTCGATACAGCGCCCGCCCTTTTTGAATAACATGTACACAAAGTCACTAAACAAACCGTGCATAGTTGCATAGATGTCAAATGATATTTTGTAATGTCTATGCTTTCGTTTTCCTATTTCACTGATTTGCTCAAACCTAGTTGATGTTATTTTGTGCCACTTGTGATTCCCGTGCTGATATCTAGTTTATTCTAAGGATATTGAGATGTTTCTTTCCTGTCTTTACATGCAGCTTATTTTTTTAAATAATGGAAGATGGTGTAAGAGGAAATTTATGATGAAAATGTAATCTAATGTGAGTAATTTTCTTAGACTAGTAAAGTAAGGAATATTTTTATATAAGTAGCAGTAAAATTATTTAAAATATGAGATTTTGTAGATTTGTTTGTATTTCTTTTTTGAATGGATAAGGATCCGTATCATTTCCCCCCCCCAAAAAAAGGGGAAAAAGCAACGTAGGCTGCACAAAAAGTTATTTCAACTCTAACAATTATATTTCAAGTATTAAAGCATTTCTCTGACTCCCTTCGCAGGTTCACAGCCTAACGGCGCGCTGCGTTCCTCGGCGATTCCGCGAGGGCTTGAAGGAGCACCCGGCGAACGGCCACATGACCTCGAAGACGCAGCCCACCCACACTTGTCCCTCTCCCAGACGCGATGCCCCTTCGCCCGAACACCTGGGCATCCCTTGGGGTCCTGTAGCCATCCCGGTCAGGCCCACACAGGTGCACGGGGACACAAGCGATGACTCGTCTGCGCCCCCAGGTTCCCCGAGGCGCGTTCCCCGTCGGAGGAGCGGAGGACGTCGAGACACCCCTGGCTGGTACGCAAGACCCGAGTGCGGTTCCCTGACAGATCCTGCGGTTCCAGTTGCTGCTGACAGTGTTTGCTAGACTGGAATTATTTCTTTTTTAATGACTGTGCAGGTTACATACGCATACCTATATATTTTACAAAAAAACACATAATGTTCATGTCCTTAAAATTATTAAAAAACACATTACATTGAAAAAATAAGCCCATTCAAAGTTCTTGATAAAGAAAGGCATTCTTTTCCCTCGTAGAACCGCTTTTATGTATGAAGATTCATGAGAAATCCTCACGACTGATCTTAAGCGACCTCTCCCACTGCCTCTGCGAAACACTACAACTCGACGTCCCCATGAGAGGTCCAGCCCAAGTGATGTGCAATTATATGCTGCCATAGCCATACATATCACCTTCACATTCATGAGAGAAGTTTAAAAAAATATCAACTCCCGTTTTTTTCTGAATATAAGTGGATCATAGGGTCATTTATATTTGAAACATGAATAATACAAAAAATATAATGAAATGCAACCAGTCAAATCGGTAACGTGGTCGACAATAAAAGATTACTACTTTTTCACTATTTTAGAATTTGAGACAATACTCTGTAGTGTTGCTAAAGGAGTAATTATAGTGAAATAGCTAAATACTTCAAGCTCCTGGACTTCAAGTGACTCTGCATAATATTGAGTGTGAGGTGTGTAAATATATGAAAGAAAATCATCACACGATTTGGGTTACATTGTTTTCTCCAGAATTACTTACTCTGTAAACATAAAATCTTCTGTATGAAGGTGTGTATATATTTAAAAATGTATTTGATACAAAATGAAATGTACTACAGCTAATATGTGTACCACAGCTAATGCAATTACTGTACTGAATGTAGAGTTTTCAGTAGACAAGCTTATGGTATTGAATAGAGGTGCCTCATGTCAAGGGATAACTGCTCTATTAAAATGATACAATTGAAACTTCACTTTAAGTACTGCAATCTTTAACATAATCACCTGGTTCAGTTTAAATTCTTGATTGTCACTTCAGTATGAAAAATGGTATGGAAAATATTTAAATTTCTAGATCATAAGGTGATTTGTGATTGGCAACTGTGATCAAACTCAGCATGGTGGTAACAGATAATGTTTATATGATGTTGAATAGTGTGTACGTCTATTTTTCATAAACTGTGTACTTTATGTATGAAAAAGATACCTTTGTTGATAACTCTAAATGTAATGGTGCCTTTATGGAGTATATTGTAACTAAATGCCTTATATGTTAGTGATTATGTTGTATTATAAACGATAGATTACAATCAATATTTTAGTGTTGTATAGTCACTTATAAGAACAAGCTCAGATGATCCATGTACTTACAAGTTCATAAAATGTAAAAAAAAAAAAAAGTAATTGCTTTCAGTTATTCAATCATCTGTAAAAGCAAAATTTGAACCCTCAAGAAATGTAAGAAATAGTATATGCATTTTAAGGTTTATAGCTACTAAGCACATCTTAATTCTGGTGTGTTTCTGAGAAAGCAATGCAAGTACTTCTCAGAAAAAAAGTTAAATTGAGAAGAATGTATTATATCATGTATTATGGATTTACATGTATGAAGTTTCCATTACAGATTGAATATTATTACACTTTTTTATTATGTACAGAAGATATCATTGCTCATTGCTTTCCATATTTCAGTTCAATGGCACAGATAGAAACAATTGCCTTTGTATCAGTATTAAAATGTCTTCTTTGATGTATGCATCCTGATTTCTGGTTTCAAGTGCCATACTGCAAACATCATTTATTATTTCGTTATTTCCTTTTCAGCCTTTATTTTATGCTGCTTACTCAATAGTAGTGTTATTTCCAAAACTCAAGAAAACTTCCTTATTACTCAAATATATAGACTCCATATACTATGTTTTCTTTTACCCTTTATGTGCAAGAAATGTGACACCTGATTTTCCATTGGCACAACCATTTTAAATTGGTGAAGAGTATATCAGATTAGTGTCTAAAAGGAAGATGTAATTTTTTTATTTAATATTTTAGATTTCTCTCTCTCTCCCCTTACAAAAATTAAAGAAGTCTGCAAGATCGACTCATTTTTATAAAAATCTTATTTAATCTATCCATGTCCTGAAATGCCCAAATGACTAACAGAATTTTATTATACTTTGTAAAACCTGATATTTGAAAGGGTAATTCTTTAAATGTACAGGTATTCAAAATCAGACATATTTCGATTTTGACACTTCCAATATTCTTTCATTTTGAACAATCCCCTTATGGCATATTCTTTAACCTTCAATAGATTCATGTCATATTAATATACAGTATGGTTTTCTATCAACATCAAATGAAAGACTCAAAACCTTCAGAAATTCATGTTGTCAGCTTATCACATACTTGTTATGAAGCCAATAAATATGGCTGCTGTGAAAGGTTAATGGTGAAAACAAATAAATATGCTAAACATCAAAGGTCATATAGCACTATGCCAAAAAGGATAAAGAAGAGTTAAAGATTATGATAAAATATGTTAGATGTCAAAGATCAGAGAATGTTATAGAATAGTGTGGTAGTGAAATGGGAAAAGTGGGAATAAAATGAAGTAGAGCAGAGATTAGTAAAAAAAAAAAAAAAGGAAAAGGGTAAAGGGCATAGGGTGATGAGTGAATTGCAGTGCAACTTTGACTGGAAGGAACACGGACACTGTTCAAGGAAAACAGAGATGGCTGTTGAGAAGTAGGAGGAGAAGAATCTGGGGGATGAGAGAAGGGGACCGGGGGAGTTAGTGAAGTATCAGGAAGTGTTAGGAGGGAAGGGGTCTGGAGGACACTGTTGTGACAGTAGGAATTCATGTGAGCATTCAGGTGGGAGCGGTAGAAAGGATGGGATGTATTGGGAGAGTGTAGGAGAAAGGGGGTGGGGGAGGAGGAGGAGGAGGATGGATATTGGCAAATTGGCAAATGTACAGAGAGTAAGAACAGAGGGATTGGAGGGTGGATGAAAGAGCGGAGTGTTCCCTTGGGTCACGTTTAGGAAGTTTAGTATTTTTTAAAGTTTCTGGAGGGGAGTTGGGTGAAGAGGATAGAGGTTCTTTTATGAGAAGAGGGGATAAATATCTGAGGAGCAGAGGAATAGGACGGTGTAGGAGAGGATGTGATAGGTGAATGTGGAGTGGAACATTTAGGTTGCCTGGTGTGACAAGTAAAGTGAGGAGGAGTAGGCATCAGGAAGTGGTAGAGATCAGAGTATCTGTATTTAGACTGGAAAAAGAATTTAACTGGGGGAGAGGGGGAGTAGAGGTAGGATGGTTTAAAGTAGAGGGAAGAGATACTGGGGGAGATGCTGAGATCTCATGAGAAGATGGGAGAGGAGCAGAGTAAAGGACAGTTTTGGAATAAGTAAAGAGAGAAAAACATCATCATCGTGCTTCCTCTTTGGCCTCGAGTAGAGAGAGGCCTTGCTTGAATATGAGAACTGCTACCTCACATTTGAGCTTATCGGCAGGGCATCTCCAATAAAATACATTATGGGGGCCACCGCAACTGGCATATCTACATGACTGAGCAGAGCAATTTGAACTGTCATAACCAAGTTGATCACATAGAGGGCAGCGGCCTATGGAGTGACAGTGTTTGGCTGGATGCCAAAAACACCTATATTTCTGGGATT